CACTGGGGTATCTGTGATTTAGCACATCTCAGAGATCTACAATTTTTATGCCGGAGAGCTTATCTGACTTTTTTGAGGGGAAACATTTGAGATTTCCTCCTTTCCAGAAAAATAAGCAGAACTTTTAAATATCTACAAGACAAAATTTCTAGATGGAAGAGAAGGGATTTGTTCAGGAAAGAACAAATAGGAACATAGGAACCCTCAACATGCTAGCATTACTTTTTTTTTTTTTTTTTTTTAATCATATTGGTGGTCTGAGTGTCTTAGCAGCTCCTCTAAAAACAGGTCTGCTGAGCGTGAGCATACCACTCGACTTCTGCAACCCCAAGAAAAAAACACTTACAGAAAAGTTGTTATTGTGCACTGTTCTAACCATAAAATAAGCCAAGATTTTTGTCTGATCTTTGGTGGGAATTAATTTCACAACTGATTACTGAAAAAGGCCTCATTCCCACTAGGATGAGGCTGTGATTCAAAATTTCTCTTCACAGAGGGAAAAGTGGCCTTTGAGAATAAGTCTTCAGCTTATCTGAGACTTTGAAAAGCAATGATTAAACAAGTGTCCAAATGACATTAAATGATGTGAGAAACCATAGCTTGCCGATATCTTGCACACAGGTCCCACATGGTCAATGGAAATGCATATGCTGAACAATTTTTTAAGAGCAGTTCAAAACTTGTGCCACTGCAGCTTCAGCCTCCAAGAAAGGGGGAAGGGGAGAGTCTCTAAGTTAGCCAAAGATAGCAGAAGGCCTTGCCAACAGTGTGGGTAGCTGCAATTTAGCTAGCCTCCCAGGATTGTGTTACTCTGACACCCAGCAGACAGATTCCCTCAGCAATTCAGTCTTTCAGTCTGCGTTTTGCTGACAGCAATCTTTATACTGTTGAACACAGTTGGGAACAACTTTGGTGAAAGAAGTGCCATTGACAGAGTGCCCTTAGTTATAAGGTAACAATTGGTAGGAGGTGGTGCTGGTGACTGCAGGTGAAATTAATGGGCTGTCAGATCCATTCTCAGAAAAAATGTGCAAAGATCATAAAAATCTCTGTTGCTAGCTGCTGTCTTCTTTGCTGCCTCAGAGGGAGTGCCAAGGACAGCATGGACATGGAGACCAGATCACCATCTTCTTTCTCTCCAAGCAGTCTCTGACAGCTCAGGATTTAAGACATACATGGGCGGGGTAGGTACTGAGGGGAATTTACACTGCTGCTGTTTTGACTGGATTTGCCTGGGATAAGAGAAAAGCGAAGTGTAGGACAGCAGTCTCCAGCCCACCCCTTCAGCCCCTTCCACAAAAATGTAATTCATTGACTGGAAAGAAAACACTCCATAATTTGACTGGTTCAGCTTGCCTATCACTGAAGAGAAGAAAATACTACACATATTCATCATTGGCAGGAAAGGTCTCCCAAGCAATTCCCCTGATCTACCTGTCTGCAGATGGCTGCTTTGGACAAAGTACTGCCTCTCCTGAATTCCTGGTTTATCATTTTCCTTCTATCTTCCAGAGTCTCACAACTTCTGAAAGCTTTAAGATACAAGTGCACCGTCCTACTAATGTGCAAAGCCCTGAAAAAACCTCTTCCCCAAGCTATTAATAATGATGCATATAGGAGTTCATGGAGACAACCAAGTAACAGGTGGTAGAGATAATATTACGCTGGAAAAGAGCAGACCTGCCACTGCCCATGTGTCGGGAGGCTAATGTCTCACATTTATTGTCGTGAGCTAGAATGCACTCGAAACACAGAGAAATGTCACACAGATGTCATACACAACCTGCCAATCCAAGTCCAAGAGTTAGTTTATTGTACCAAACTCCCAATGCCAAAATCAAGGAAGAATTGCAAACGCTGCTTATGTTTCAAACTAATCAACTTTTCACTCTTAGCTATTGTATAAATAATTTAAAGCACCATTGAACAAACATTAACATCTCTCTCTCAGTCGCACTAGATCCTAAGTGCTATCAGCAATGTCAAGAAACCCCAACCCTAGTGCAGAGTTAGGCTTCTGGTGCACAACAGAGCATCTGGTATATTCAGTGCTTAGTGAGGTAATTGCACGTTCCAGCCTCAGGTTCTTCAAGCCTAAAACTACATATATACAAACCCAACTTACTCAATGTCTTGATTTTTTAAGTCTGTTTCACCTGGCAACCACCACTTCAATTCAGAACCTTAGAAAAATCAATCATATCTTCATGTCTCAAAACACCCCTTCAAGTATTTAACTCTACTCACCAAGTTTAAGTTTTTTGGTAATCTGCTTTTGGATAATACTTCTATACTAAAATGATGCTATAAATTCAACAGTGTAGTAATTGCAGTTCAGAGCAATCGGGCTCTGAACAAAATGAAAAAACACACTAGCATATACTTTTACAGATGTATAAAAATGCAGAGGAGTATAAAAATCTGAATTCTAGTTTTCTTCTGTTAATCTGTTTTTTTTAAATCACATTGCCTTATCTGTGAAAAGTGTTTATTGGTGGGAGAGTTGTACTACATGCATCTATTGCAATACATCAAACTCACACATGTAGCACAGTGCATTACAGGCATGGCTCACATGCTTTGTTTAAGTATAAGACTGAATTACCACAATATTTTAGGCATGTTGAATACAAAGTTTTGCAACAAAATGGCTTGAGTTTTCCTCAAAAAAGTCCAAATTTTCTGGAGCAAAAGGGTTTTTTAAATTGTTTTGATTGTATTGCCTTAGAGATCCTAGCTGAAATCTTACAACAGGATTAATGTAAATACTCCTGCGAAACACATCACAAATCATAAAAGTGCCCCAATCCTTTTTCATCCAGAATATGGCATAAGCAATGGTGTTTTCATCCCCTACTACTGTCTACACTGAGAAATAAATACAAGACCAAATGATTTACTTCTTAAAAGCCTTAGACGCTTCTATTCAATCAATTACTTGACTTGTAAACTTAGCTTATTTCTAAGTGACAGCCTGTAGTGTTTCCACCAATAAAACCTGATGTTAACTCCAGGTGGGATTCAACAATGTAAGGTTACCAAATAAAAGAATCGGACAGTGAAAGTATTAAACCAAACTCAGAAATATCGTTAGTCATTGTAAGTATGCAGATGCAGAGCCCCAGGACATCATGTATAGGTTGGAGTAAAGGTGATTCAAATCCTATGTCACACCTCTATCTATGCAAGCCAAATTTCAGGGAGTTGATACCCTCTGAACATCAGACACCTCACGTGGGCCCAGAAAGAGTCCATCTTAAATGACATCACACCATGTAAATCCTTCAAATGGCTGGTTGGTCTGACATGATGCATAGGCCACATTTATCCTTCTGATATTAAAAAACACAGTCCTCAAACCCAACCCCAGAAGGACAAAAGCACACTAACTGATTGAATAAATAAAATCACAATTGCACTAAATCACAATTTCATTATGTTTTCTCTCTCCTTAAGTCAAAAAAATTAAAAGTGCTTTAGTCTCTCTACATAACGTCTCCCTCTAAGCTCTTCCTTTTGGTTCCTGAAACTTCCAAAGCACTTCAGAGTGATCCCACACAGGAGCCAGTGCTCTTCATCTCGACATGAAGAGCTTCCTGGCATCCCTTCCCCACAGCAGGAAGCAGCTCTTGCAGCTCCTACTTTTCCAAAGACCATTTCTTAGAAGCTATTCCCTCTTACTCTTTTTCCATTCTTTTGTCTCATCAGACTTCTGTTTCCTTTTCTAGACAGTTCTTAGTAGGACAATCACTACCCAGATTTTGTCAAAGAATCTACTTCTTAGCAAGGTGCTGCTGTCTCTCCCAAGTATTTTTCTTCCAGAACAGGGCTGGTCTTTTACTTTTTGTTTTGACCTTACCAAGCAGGCTTTGTTGTACTCTAACAGAGGCTAATCCCATGAGGGGCCCAGCTCAGTAGCACAGTCTGTGGATAATAAAATCATGTGTCTCCAGGAATCACCAGCAACTGATGCTCCAAGCACTAGACACTTGAACCGCAGACTCCCAGCCAACATTCTCCAACTCAATTCTGGAAAGGCTAGGCTTGGCACAGCTGAGAAGCTGCATCTCAAGGCATTTAAGTTAACTCTTTCTTCTCCTGAAAGCACCAGTTAAGAGACTTTCTAGTGTCAGTTTTTATGAAGACTATGAATAATGAAATATAAAAGTTCACTTCTCATCATCTCATTCCTGACCTGGGGTTGAATTATAAGTGGTAAACTCAAGGTGAAAGGCTCCAAATCCCATTACACATTCCCGCAGCCATCTAGCATGCAACTGCCCCAAGCTGCTATTATTTTTAATCCTGTAATACTTGTGATAATAATAGCAATGATCAAAACTATTTTGTTTGTACCCTGAAGCACAATGGCACAGTTTTTGCAAATTTCAGCTAACTCACAAAAATCCAAGTTGAATAAGTAGGCTTTTTACAGGCTGATTTCTGTGTATTTACCAGAAGTCATTTCAGTAATATATTATGGGCAGAATCCAATTTCTTTATATGTCTCTCTTATCTTTTGTCTGCCCTTGTGCCTGTAGTAAGTATACATCTGTAAATTATTAGTAGTTGGATAACACAAAATGAAGCTAATGAGATAGGAGAAAAGGTGGAAAAATGTTGCTTCTGACTGAGAAGTTACTCAACAGAGAAGTGAACACATATGAGTACACAGTGAATAATTCCCTTTGAAATCTTATTTTATACATAAATAAAAATTTTAAAGGGCCCAAGTCACCACTGGCAAATAAAATCTCCAGACCCTAGTCAAGAACAACTCTGCAGATGACACTGTGAAAGACACGCCTTGCTCCAGGCCCGAATGAGTACCGTGTGCAGCCAAGGGAAGATCCACAGTGACAGCCATGTCTGTGTTAAGTTGGCTGCAAAGGGAAAATCTGTTGGGAAGTGGCAGTCTTCTAACAGCTAGTGAGGCCACCGCTTTTAAAGCGAGAACTTCATAGCAAATGGGTATCCTATAAAAAGAGTCCTTCCCTTACCCAGAATTTGACAAGGAAGAAGGCATTAGCTGGCCCCCTTTCAAAGAGCTCCTTCAGGCCCCCTTTTTTCTCAGGGAACTTGTCATAGATCTGCCGGATATCCACCGCCTCGAGGTAGGGGTCACTGTAGCTGGGGCTTGACCGCCCAATGTGCACAAACAGGTGTTTGTTATACTGCAAGAAGAAGGAAAACATGGAATTAGGAAATTTTTCAGTACTATACAGTACATACTGAACATTCATGACTCTTCACAGAGGACAACTGGAAGTCACTGAAGATTTGATAGCACTTCTAAAAGAGCAGAAGTATTAGCAGAAATGTCTTTGCTAATACCAGATCATGTGTTCTTTCTTTCCTATCAATACATCCATGCTTCTTGCTGCTTCTGAAACTTTGTTATTGGACTTTTTCCTATATTCACTCCTAAATCATTGCCTCATGCTGCTGCTTCATAATCTGAAATAACCTGAGATACAGAGTGTTACCTGTCGCAGGTCATTCAGTCAAACATCAATGTCCCTGTCCTGTGAAGAGCTGCCTGAAATCCCACTGCAAGGTACCAGCCACGTTTTCTGAACTTTCCCGTCTTGGTCAGAGAAAATGTAACTGGCCTATCACCAATGTACATCTCAAGATGCAGTATCACAAGGCTTAGTGAGACAGGCAAATCTTACTACTCCCATTTTAGAGGTGGCACCATGGAAACAAAATGATGCAAATTCATCCCAATTGCCTCCAAATTTAGGTTCCCAGCACACCAGAGAAATATGTGGCTTCAAGTTATCATCTGATTCTGGGTCTATCCTCCAAGGCTGGACAGGACAGCTAGAATAGCCCAGCAGGGACTGTACCACTGTTTTATGACTTCAGTGCCTTGAGTTCTGATATCCATAACCCTGAAAAGGGAGGCCAGAAGCACATGGCACAAAGCTGGCTATATTGCTGTAGACAATTCTATCCTCCTAGAGAAGGTTATCTTGTGTTTTCCAAAGGCGGATTTCTGTTCTCAGTCAAACAATGAAGCAAGTATTTCCATACACATATAATAGTATAACATATCCATGATGAACAGGAGCTACCTGAAGACCAAAAATTAATGAGAGGTGGAAATCAGGTGTGTATCTTACTGTGTCTTGGTCTTGTTGTTGTTCCAAGAATGCAGAGAATTCTAACATCCAAAGTTTGGAGCTAGCAACCCTTCGTCCTTGCCAAGCTGGTGCTGATGGGGAAGGCGAGGCACCAGGAGACTCAAATCCTAAGTATACAGGATTTATATAACAAAATTTAGAAAGATAACAGTTGGTAATAGCTTTCTAGTAGAGAACCTGTTGTCAAAGCTGACTAATTTCATTTTCTTATGACTTCAGTCAACATGCAAAAATATCATTCATGAGGTCCTCACTTTACCTGTGGTTAGAGTGGCTTGTCGGTTACCCACTGCTAAGACAGCATTGTCAGGGTTGGTAGTGGTGTAAAAGACAATCCACTTGGTTTTGACACTAGAAGAAACATGTTCAGCAACTTTAAGAGGACCTAGACTGAGCCCCAAATGAGCAGTGAAATAAACTACTTTCGTATCAGAATGAAGCATCGCCATTAACATGATCATTAACCTCTCAAAATGGGGAAGCTGAGAAGGAAGAGGCATTTGTTGTTCCACTTAATGAGAAATTGGAGAGGGAATAATGTTATGATGGAAAACAGTGTGCTAGTACATGCAGCATGGTGGAAGAACAGTAGACATACATAAATTTCTATTTTCTACTGAGCCAGGAGAAAAAGAAACCCTGAATTAACCACCTTAAAGCAAGTAAAAATGTAGGAACGGGTGATAAGGAGAAATCATATAAAAATGAATTTGGGACTCACTGAAATGTTTTAATAGGTAAAAATATTTAAAAAAAAAATTTTAAAACTTTTTAAAGTGTTGGCTATTTCCAGAAGTTGGAATATAATTCTGAAGCAAGAAAATACATTTCCTTACCTACCTGGTAATGGCAGCAGAGGCTGTACAGCATACGGTTGTTGAGAAAAAGGTTTCATGCTACAGAAGTACACAAAGAGAGATTGTTAACAAAAAAAACAAACCAAACTAAAAAATATTTTTGACCAACTGTTTCTGCATATTAGATCAAATATTTCTCCTGAGAGAAAAAGTGGCATAAGTGTCTGGGAAATTATCTTTCTGTGTGGGCAGGAGAGGGTCATGGAGAAAGACTCAAAAAACAGTAATGGGCCAGGACTTGACTGAATAAGATTTCCCTGCAGGTGTTCAGCAGGGTCTCCCTGCAGACTTGTTATTCAGAGATCCTTATCAGCCTGTTAGTACACTGGTGCCCATTCGTTTATCCTTTCCCTTCAACCCTGGATAGATTTAAATTTATGTAAGTGGCTATACATCTGGGCTAGATGCCTCTCAGACAGGAATAATGGCTTAGGTGAAGAACAGACACTCTCCAACTGCTTGTCCTTAAGTTGGCTTAAATTGCTTCTGTTAGATTATGTGATAAAAAGTGTATCTCCATACAAAGGAGCACAGAGGAACAATGGCAGGCAAAGCAACCTAAATAACAGTCTCACACAAATAAACCAAGGACCATCACTGGTAAAGGATCAGCCCATCAAAGCTCATCTCCACACTGGGGCAGGGGAGCCCCAGGAATGCTGTCAGAGAAACAGAGCCTCTGCCCCAGCATCTCTGAGGGCTGCCACAGGAGACCCATCAGCCCCATAGTCCCAGTGTGAAACCAGCCCAGTGAGCCAGCTGGGGAGGCTTACAAACCAGCCACCTTACAAACTGAGGGGGTTACTGCCTAGATGGTATGGGACACATTATGGAATGCAAGGGAAGAGCATTTTGGGATTGCACAAGATTTATTATAGGGATGTTTAGGGCAAGTATGGCAATAAAAGGTGCCAGTCACATGTAAGAATGTCAGTACAGTTGTCTGTCCATGCCCTGCACCTTGTCAGTGCTGCCTGTCCCATCTTCTTACTAAATTCTATTCCTAATTCTTTTCCTACATGAGGACCTCTCAATTATGTGTGTGTGTGTGTGCTTGTTTCTGAAGTGTCAGCAGTGAGGGTGTGATCAGTAGCAATTATCAAGCCAGACTAGCCAGCATGGTTTGGGAGCTCACAGTCAAGAGGTTCAGGCTAAATGGCAGAGAGACTATGGAACCTAGAGGTTGGTTGACTGAAAAGGGTGTGGGGGTGTGGTGTGCTGTGTGCATGTATGTGTATTTGTGTTGCATGTTGTCTGTCTGTGCTCCTCCGTGTGGCCTGCAGCGTGTATATGTGCGTAAGTGCAAAGTACATGCATATTTGTGTGTGCGCGCACCAGAAATACATGCTCAGCCTTGCTACTGGTTTAATTTAGGAGCATGGGGCTGCAGCAGCCTCACCTCTATCAGGCTGCTAGATTCAACAGCTCCCTAAAATAACCCATATTAGGCTGCTTGAGTCATGAAACACATTACAGTGATGTAATCCATGTTGAAGGTACCATATGAAGACATAAGGTCTTATGTACTTAAGATTCTTTCATGACTCTGTCTTTGTCTTCAACCATGGTCCTTAAGCCTCAGATCCAGAGTCAGGGAATCTGAGAGCAAAGATTATGTTATCTTAGCATTTTATAAGTCCTGTAATAGCTAATGGTGTTCCTCAGGCAGCACAGAGGCAGCAGCAGAAGCACCTGTTTTGTATGCTCACATGAATGAATACTCACTCTTGGGAAGATCCAGATTGGCCTGGCAAAGCACCTTGCCAAAACTGCAAGAGAACAACATACAGGCAAAATCATCACTCAGGACAGAGATTAAAAGCACAGCTTGCTCCTTTCTGAGGAAAGAAACTTCAAGCTCACACACTTTTAAAGATGTGACAGAGTTACACCTTTTCTTTCTGCCTTCCTGGTTTCATCCTTGAGGAGCTGTTGACTGATCTTCATTTTCTTTCTACACACTACTACTAGTGACATACAAGCAACTGATCCAATAGTGGTTTTCAATGTTAAATACTACATATGCAACTTGTACCTTCATCTCCAAAGCTTTCATGATACTCATCACTCTCTTAGAGGGATCAATTTCCCCAGGAGAGCTCCATGGGAGTACTTTAGCAGAAATAAATGCTCAGCAAAAGCTTACTAGGCTGAACTCAAAAGTTAGGGAATGCTGACAGGCCTCCTCTGTTAAATATTTTGTATAAGGGCCATCAACTTGTGATCTAAGCACTCAGGATGAGCTTTGGAATGATAAACTTAAGAAAGGGTCAGGATGGCCCAAACGGTTTTAATCCAACAAGATCCTGGACTAGGAAAGTGATACAGATACCTAAAAATATTTCAGGCAGCTGAAAACCCAAGGGATCTGATTATTCTCTTACTTGTGTCATTTTAAAATAAGCATATAGTAAAACTCTATTGTTTTACATCAGTGTGAGCAGAGAATCAGATCCAAACTCTTGAAGCCATATTACAGATTTGTTCTGCAAAGACAATGTCTTTTGGCCCATTCTTTCTGATGTTCTCAGGATTTTCCTGAGTAGGTCCCAATGCCCTTTCAAATACTCAAGTGACTTCAGCCCAACCCCAACAAGACACGAATTCACTCACCCCAGAAACTGCAGGATAGGCTGGTCGTGGGAGACCAGGCAAGGCCATTTTACTATGGAAGGCAGTTGCAGAGATAATCTGGGCAGATGACATTGTAGCCATACTCTGCATGGCTTTATCTTTAGCTGCCTGATCCTATGGACAAGAGTAGAAACAGAAAAAGCAGAATTATTATAATGATAAAGAAGTTGCCTGGTCTAATGCTGCATAAGCAAAATTCTCATCAGCTTCTTTGTAGGGAACACCCATCTCTGAAAACTGGTCAGCAGACTAACCAGTAACTGTCCTAAGAACTCTTCAAAACATCTCAAGTCTTTCACCCATTACTAGAGCTTCAGATGTGATTAATCATCCTCTCTGAAATGCTGGAATCACTGGTTTAGAGACTTCTTTCTGTCTGAAGGCTTTCAGCTGCACAGCTGAAATGTTTTTTTATAGCAAGTACAACCCTAACTGACTCTTGTGTTTTAGTAGCTGGTAAGAATATTCAATGGGAAAGACTCTTGCTCATTAGAAAACCCCTCTAAAAACAATCTCACAAAAGAAGTTTGTCATCATCACTTCAAAAAGACTACCTCAATATGGGACAGCATTAGCGTTAGGTAGAGTTGATCATTTTATTCCTATCCCTGGGGAAACAGGAAATCTTAATAATCTCCCAGGGCACATATGCAAGGACAGTCCTTTCTGTATTTTAACAGGGCTGTGGAATTGCACACATTTTTACAGGCAATGACAATGCAACAACTAGGGGGTCTGATGTATGTTTAAAACAAATAGCATTTTTAATTTCTTCTTCCAAGGAATAAATAGACAAACAGCATCACTTCCCCACATTCTGCCTTTCCTACTACATCCCCTACAATTAATCTTCATCCTTCAAACACTCCACATTTATCTGTGACATTATAATTATAATGGTAATGTCACAGATGAATTCATGGCTTGGAGAAACTGCTGAAAGAGGTAGGCTCTTCCTGTCTTCAGGAATTCTCACTTCCCACTTTCATTCATTGAACTGCAGTAAATTCTCACCCTCAGGTCTCCATTCTCTTTAACCCCTCCATTTTCTCTAAGGTTTCCTAAAGTTCAAAGCTCAGGGATTCTGATTTGTCTAACACAAAAACATTCAGAGGAGGAATAACAAAAGTTTAAGAATAAATTACAACGTTTAAGTGGAATTATTGGTAGGAATGGGCAAAACTTACATATCTTCTTTTTTGCAGTATCTGTGACTCCTGTTAGTATCATTCAAATGAATAGAAGGGAAACATTCTGACTGATGAGAAAGTTCCTAAGATACTCCAAAGCCATGGGAAGGTTTTCAGAACCCTGTTTAGATGATCCTTTAGGGAGTACTCTAAGGATTAGTTACAACATTTTTTAAGGGTAAGGATTCTCTTCTGTTTTTTCATGACATACATAAGGATGTTTTCCTAGTTGCCACTACAGAAAAGGATTTTTTTCCTTCCCTTACTTTCTCACTGGGAAAATTGTATTTGTCTACCTGAGTTAATACATGAGTTTATGGGAGAGAAGTATTTTATATATATTCAAGTGTTAAAGTATCAATGAACAATTAAGAAGTGAAAATATTTTATCTATTAACCCGTTGTGTTTTTCTGTTTTGTTGAAATACCTGACAGACTACTGGAAAAAGCATGTTTTTGAAGAAGACATCTCCTTTCTCTTTCAGCTAACAGTTCTGTATTAATTTGTATCGTGTTTCCAGTACGAAAAAAAAAATAATAAAAGAAGCAACAAAAACTTTTACCAAACATTTTCAATATTTGTATTTTCTTATTCTCAAAACACATAATAATAATAACAATAACAATGACCACCACCATAATTTCCCTCTTTTTCCTCAGTACAGGTGATGTCTATTAGCCACCCAGGACATGGAAAACTACTGACTTCTGGGAACAGACTTTTCTCCAAATTTTACCCTACTTTCCCACCTCTATCTGTTATAGGCACAGTGCACACTTAGAGAAGACACCCCAATTTGTGTGAAGACAGTAGTATTATAGTAATTGCTCTGAAAAGTCAGTGTGTAGCTGCTCTGATCTCTAGGATACAAATATGAAAATGTATACTCGCTATGGAAAATGAACAGTGAAGGAAGAACACACAGCTATCACCAGGAACTGGAAGAAGGGCAGCAGCTTTTATGATTTCATTTCGTGCTCTATGAAAATGATTAGTAAAAAACAAAGAAGTAAATGAGTTGAATCAGTGCTACAGACTTGCCTCGGCAGGCAGAAACAAACACTTTGGTACTGAGGGACGGTTCACTGCAGGCAGCTGGGCAGAGCTCACAGCGTGGCCTGGCGTGGTGTAAAAGGAGAACAACCAGTGGCTCCATGGAGCTCCCTGAGACACCTTCGTTCCCTGAGAACAAAACCAGCCAGCTCCTCTGTGCTAAATGGAAACAGGCTCAGCTGACTGACTGGCTTTTTAATCATGCCAAATCCCGGAGCTGTTACATGCAAGGAACAGAATTAAGGTTACAGATATAAGCAGCAGTAAATCTTTTCACACCCCAGGCAGTTGTTTCCTACTCGCTCTAACTTGCCTTTTAAGCAGGCTTCCACCTGAACTGACCACTTAACAGCACCACGGGTTTCATGTTTAGGCAGCCCCACCTAGAAGCACGGAATTAGATAGTTGTAATTTGGGGCTCCTTCTCTTTATCCGAGCAGCTGGAAACACAGCAGGCTAATGACGTACACAACACCATTTTAGAAAATGGAGCTGAGGATGGGATGTGGGGGGTGCAGTTATGACTTATAGGTAACCACTGTTTGCAGTAGAGGTATGTGCACTTCAGCACTGGTCGAGACTGAGTGCCAAAAGTTCATTCATAAGACAGTCCACTTCTCCAGGTGCCCAGCAGGGAGTTGCCCAGCCAGCCAAAAGGAAGCACATACTAACAGCTGTCCACTCAACAATTGGGGCTGGATGGGGCTGTCAAGATCCTCATCATCCCCTGAAGCATGGAAGATCAGGGAAGCAAACATACTTCCCTCCAGATCACTCACTGACATACCAAGTCAGGATGGTCAGCATACACCTTCCTTCTCCGGTTGTCTCAGTGATACATAACAAGGACTGGACCCCACACCCTGCTTGGCAAGCCCCTTCTGGATGGTTCACATTCTAACAGGAGACACCCTCTTGTGCAATTGTCACCCATAAACTCAACCTTCTTGAGATTTCTGGCAAGTCAGTCTGAGCACACAGACCTGCTTCAAATCTGAGTGGAAATAAATGTGAATGGATATCAGTCCTAGAGCATGATCTCAGAGCTCTTCCTACAGAAAAGAAAACACAGATTTGTTCAAGCAAGTAGTTAACTATTTTCTTTCTCATTAGCCCAGGGATCTTCAAATGAGGTTGGAATTATTCAAGAGGCAAAGTCTATTCGGCTGGCATCACTTTACCTGAGAAGATGCTAGCTGGTTTTATTGCTTCCTCTTAACAGTTACGCCAACTCCGAACACTTTCTCACGGACGACTCCACATCACTACCGCTAGTAGATGTGGAACTCGCACTTCTGTAACTGTAACACTACTCTTTCCCAAGGCCACCACAACACCAGGGAATGACTACTAGTCTGTATTTGTAACCATGAACCCCTCCTTCTCAGGTAAATACTCTTTGCATACTCCCAAGTCTAAGGATCTCTCAGACTTGTATGACAGCAGCATAAAACAGGTAGAAATCAGACATATAAAATTTAAAGTTATTGCTTCTTTATTCTGTAAATAGAATTGTTCCAGATGTCACAGAGGTACAACAATACAAGTGTTTGCACAACACTTCTTGGGAAATACCCTTTCCTTCCCAGCTTACTACAGTTCAGTGACCCTTTTTTAAGGCTATTCAAAGAGGGAATGGATGACTCAGGGGGCTTGCATGGAATGTTAAAGGATATCCATCATACCTTGAGCTTGGCTTGGATCTCTCTAGCTTTCCGCCTTGCCAGGACCTGGATGTGACTAGATACCTGCATCAAAAAACAAAACCCATCTTCATTCCAGAGGAGTACTTGGTAGCTACTTGCAGAATTAAACATACTTTAGGCACTTTGTGCAACAGGGAGTTATTTAGGGTTGGGGGATGCGTGGCTGAGATAGCAATGAGATGCTTTTCTGAACATAACTTAAAGTGTCATGAAATGAGGTGAGGGGCCAGCAAAGATGGGCCATTTAAAGCCTTTTCCAATTCAAATGGCTTTATCAAACCAGAGACCTCCTCTAAAACTAAAGAACCCATCCTTACATCTAGGGACTGAGAGTTCTGATCTCTTTGCTCACCATCTTGGCCTCCTCTTCGGAAAAGGCATACCCATGTTTCATATCCCTTGCCACTATATAATGACTCTCAGAATTTCCTCATATCTAATGTGGGCCAAAATGTATCAGAATAATTTAGGTTGGAAGGATCCTCTGGATGTCATCCACCAACCCCCTACCCAAAGCAGATGTAGGTTGCTCAGTACTTTGCCCAGCACAGATAGACTGAACTATCATTCCCAGATTACAAAGATTCCTTTTTCATCCTGTGTGCCAGGTATTTTCAAAATCACCATTGCTGTCCATCTATCTGGGCTGAAAAAAGAATCTTCATATAGAGGACCACTGATGTTCATAGAAATGTTTGTAGACCCAACAAATAAAATCACAGTAGAAGAATTTGGGTGTCACAATGTGGTTTGGAGACATGAGCATTACAGTCCTACTGTAAAATGCCTGAGCTGACTCTTCCCACCATTCTTATTAACCAGCTCAGCACAACAACCTCTTTCTAGCAAAGCCAGAAATTAAGAGCAAGTGAAGAGCAAGGGATTTGTTTTCATAAGCCCCCATCATGTCTACTGGTCCAAAGAAGCTAATGTCTACAGGGAAAACTTTACACTTACCTGTTTCCTTGTGCGTGTTTTCCCTGTTCTCAGCTTAATATAGCGGGCAATCAGCTCATTTCGGCCTGGAAGAGAAATAATGCAAATATAGGTTTAGAAAGCTATGAACCCTGGGAAAATATGCACAAAGGAATTATCTGTCTATAGACATCAGCACTGGGATGATACTCTGTCACATTATTCTCTATCTTAGAAAAGGTACTCATTAGTTCACATGGTAGAGGTCTTAGTTTTAGAAGCAGAACTTTGGCCTGCAAATTCTATTTCCCAGCTTGCATCTGTATAACTTAAAATTACCAATAGAAAGGAGAATCATATGCTTTGCTTAATAATTACACTACCATAGTGTGTAAAGCTGTAAACATGGATCAAGATTGCCAGTACAAGAAGAAGGAAAGCCACTCACACTAAAACATTCAGAAAGGCAAGAAAGAAAATCCAGAAAATAACAAGCCAGTCAGCCTTATCTCAATCCCTGGGAGGTGATGGCACATGTAATCCTGGAAACCATTTCCAGATACATGAAGGTGATTGGAAGTAGTCCACATAGATTTACAAATGGGAAAACTTACTTAACCAACCTGATAGTTTCTACAGTGAGGTGACTAGCTTGGTGGATGAGTAGAGAACTGTATACTTTGTGACTCTGGCAAGGCCTTTGAATCTGTCTCCCATAACATCCTCATGGGCAACCTGACAAAGCAAGGGTTAGGTAAGCAGAGGGGGTGGGTTGAAAACTGGCTGAAGGGATGGGGTCCTGGCTGACAACAAGCAGACAATGAGCCACCACCGCACCCTCGTGGCAAAGAAGGCCAACAACATCCCAGGATGAATTAGGAGAATTGTTGCCGGCAGGTCAAGGAAGGAGATCTCTACTCAGCACTGCTGGGGCAACATCTGGAATACAGTTCTGGGCTCCTTGGCACAAGAAAGATGTGGATATACTAGAGTGAGTCCAGTACAAGGTCCACAAAAATTATTAAGGGAGTGAAGAATCTTTCATATCAGGAAAGTCTGAGAGAACTGGGACTGTTCAGCCTGGAGAAGACTCAGGGAGAGTTTTTGCCAATGCATATAAATACCCGATGGGAAGCAATGAAGAAGAGGGACCCAGCCTCCTCTCAATAGTGCCCAGTGATAGGACAAGAAACAACTGGTGTAAACTAAAACAAATTAAAGTCCATCTGAAAACAAGAAAAATAAGAAGAAAAAAAAACAAACCAAACCAAAACACCAACTTTTTTACTGTAAGGGTGGCCAAACATTGTCACAGGCTGCCCAGAGAGGCTGTAGAGTCTCCATCCTTGAAGGATGCTCAAAACCTGACTGGACACAATCCTGGGCAACCTGCTGTAGCTGACACTGAGCAGTAGGGCCAGACTTGATAATCTGAGGAGATCCTTTCCGACCTAAATGAGTCTGTCATTCTGTGAATCTAAATACAAGAAAATAAACAACAATGGGGAAGTACATAGAAACAGTTACACAGAATTTATCAGTGTGACGTGATACAGTGAATGAAAAGTGCTTTTGGGCTCTTGCAGATATTCCCCCCAAAAAAGAGCATTCTCAGAGAAGATATAGAGAAGGAAGCTTAACTTTGTGGGGAGCTCCAACAAACAGGAAGGTGAGGCACTGGCTGGGAGAGGTGAAGGAATCCTTGTCCAATTATGGAGCAAGCACACATTGCAGGCACTGAAAACAGGTTTTACATCTTGATTTTAAGAGATGACAGTGACATTATGCCCTTCAGGGCCAAGGAAAATGAAGACAAGTAGTTTTATGTTCAATATGAGAAGAGAAGTCAGTGCAGATGCAAAAAAAAACATAGTCATAGTGACAGATGAGGGAAATGGTCTTAACATCTACATGCATGAAATGGCTAACAAAACATGAAGCTACAGGGTCACTGATACAGAATTTGAAAATGCTTGGAATGAGAGCAGGAAACTGCAGAAGACTCAGGTGCAGGATTTGAAAATCAGGAAGAGAAGCAGAGAAGGCTGAGCTACAGAAGTAAGCTTAGATCAAATTCACAGCTAGCACCACAGAACTGCTTAAGAGTGGACACCAAGACACGAGGCAGACTGTGAAGGTTCCATACACTGGCTCCCATGTAAAAATCTATGTAAAATCTAAGCAGACACACAAATTTTATTCTCTTTCGGGAGGTGGAGGAATAAAGAGCAGAAACAGAAAAGCAGCAGCTATAGATTTGAACTCTAGACTGAATCAATGCAGAAACCATAATAGAAAGAACGGGCTCTGCAAAATAATACATTTGTGGTGACCACACTAGTAGCAGATACAATACTGCAATAGAAAGTTGGGAGTGGGAAGTGAAAGGCTGTGAGACAAATTAAATGGCTGCAAGTGTTCGAGGAACGAAGCAGGAATTAACTTGTAAGCAAAGCCACAGCTCTTGTGAAGTTTATTTATAACAAAATTATAAAAACACAGTATTTTCTGTGGAAAATTTATGGGCTGAATGGAGAACTTGTATGTTAGGACATCATAGACTATCAAAAAAGCAAGCAGTGAAAATAGATACAGTATTTATTCCAGTAGTTTAATATTCCATGAAAAGTTGTCACTTGTTTTTATTTTAAATGCTTGTTTAATTCAACCCTGAAAAAAATGAATGCTAGGAAAGACTCTATGCTAGAAATTGACCACTGAACCCTTTAGGGAAGGGCTGTCAAAGCTCCTAATCCCATCTGTTTCTGAAACAGTAGAATGTAAAATGTCCATGACTGCATTTAGGCCATGTCCATGAAACATATCCAAAGCACACATATCAGCAGGAAAGCATTTTACATTTACAGGTCTTAATCTTTTCCTAATGGTGCCATTACAGAAGCTCTCCTTATTCCCCTGGGAGAAGAATGAGGTCTGTAGCTGAGAAAACAGCTCCAGCTCCTCTATACAAAAAATTAGAAATTATTTCTCTGCCAGAAACGCAATGCCCAGCATGTAACCACTGACCCCTTCAGTTCCCACAATTTCAGCATTAGCACAGTAACATGCCCAGGAGAGTTTGATGTGAGCAGATGCTGTTATGTTACCTTCCACCTGGCTGCTTTTCCAAACAGTGTAACCATTTTCCAAAGCTGAAAACAATTACCAGTGACACACACCCACATCACCTTTTTCTAGCACCATGAATAATACTTATGGCTTTTCAAAGCCTCCATCTGTTGAACATGGATCCAAGTTGAAAGGTAAGAAACAACTGAAGTGATTATTCTTGCACAGATGCCATCATATACAAAATTTCAGAAGTACAGTTTGACACATCTCAGAAGTGGGAAATGTGCAGAACAAAACAAGGTGCTCAAACCCCTTTATCTCTAAAAAAATGAAGAAGGAAAATTTATATATACCAAGAGAACCCTATGAGGGGCAAGAGGAATGAGTTAATGGAAGAGAGAATAAAAACTAGCCTTGAGAAAAAGTGGATGTGAAGAATTTAAGGCAAATTTTTAAAGCGTGCACATTGGCCTATACTAACAATTTGAGTATATGGAAACTCTCCAGACAGTGGCTCAAATATGGGTCATCCTTGCAAAACTAATTTCAGTGGATTCTCAGTTAGATATAATAAATGTTATGGAGCAAATTTAGCTTTGCCATGTTTCCATTAAAGTCATGAAACTCTACAAACTGAGCAGTCAGACAGAGCACTATTCTGCTTCGGCAGTAGAGGGCTGCAGGGATAATCTGTGTGTGACAATGCCATGAACAGCCCCATGCCAGCCACTGTTGATTCCAACCATCTTCAAAATGAATGAAAAAAAACTCATTCAAAAAAAATCATTCAAAATCTCAACCAGTCAGAAGCTACCCTTGCTCAAACATATTTTGGAAAGGGCAATAGGCACTAGGGGCAGGAGACACACAAGGAGAAACAGAAAAGGAATTGCAAAAAAGAGACATGAGGATGCACAGAAGAAGAAATGCAAGGTATGTAAAAAGACACACTTGGAGAAAATGAAGGAGAAAAGAAGACACATGGTAGGGGACATTGTTGGGGATGTGGATGGAAAAGTACTCTTGCAAAGAGGTGCTCCATGGCAGAAGGAGTACACTTTGAGGCAACTACAACCCATGAAGGACTAATGCCAGAGCAGGGACAACCCTAACAGGATTGCAGCCCATCAAGAACCCAGGTAGGAACAGAGGAGCAGCAGGAAGCAAGGAGCACCAGAAGACCTAAAAAGCAAGGACTGGCAGAAAGAAATCTTTACACAGTGACACCAATCTCCTGCACCACTCAGCACCTCATCAAAGGAATTAGGAGGGCCTGAGTGTTACAGAGAATAAAACAAGGGAAACTGAGACTAGGAAGTGGGGAGGAGAGGCAATAAACCGTATTCGAGCCTGGGAAAGTGGGAGATGGTTCCCTAAGTGTTTGTTTATCTGTTTGACATCATCAGCAAAAACTGCAAAGCTTTCTCAGGCCATGTACTTCACTGGAGAAGACAAGAGGGAGAAGAAGCTGTTGTACAAATTGCACATATTAGAAGCTGGTATAGAAATTATCTAGAGAGAGCATTCAAATGTAGATCCTCAAAAATTCCAGTTTTAGAATTCACTTCCCACTTGCCACCACCTCTCATACAGCCTTCCTCTTCCAGAAGTCTGTCCCTACAGAGCCAGAGAATAACAGAAAGGTGGCAGGGTATATTAAGCTAATAAAGATACTGGTAGCAAAAAAATACCAGACATTAGCATCAGAGGGATTACTAAATATAGAACTATGCAAATTGCCAAGCCCAGTAAACTGCTGCAAGAACATATTAAATTACCATGAATCAAATCTGCAAGTCCTAAATGTCTGTTGTTTTTCTTGTAAGTTAGATACAAGCAGGTATTATGTAGCTAGAAGCCTGTAGGTTCACAGCCTCTGGAAAGCACTTTCTTTGTTCTAGCCAAGTGAGGAGTGCTAGTCTTCGCTGACCCTGCGACCAGAGTTGTGAAACAGACAGAGCTATCATAAACTGTCAGATGGTTCATTTTTTAGAGCCATGTAAAGTGTTCCTCAGTGAACTGATCATATGTTGTG